AAAGAGGGAGTAGGGATAACTGCGTACCAGAAACTATAAACATTTTCGTCCCATATGAATGAGAATAGTTATGGCAATGACACACATAGGAAAATGGCAGACTAAAACCTGAATAGAAAATGCATTCAAGAGACTTCTCTGGTGGCGCAGTGGTTAAGAATCCGCCTGCCAATGCAGGGTACAGGGGTTCGAGCCCTGGTCTGGAAAGATCTCACATGCCACGGAGCAACTAATCCCGCGTTCTAGAGCCAGCACTACCGAGCCCATGTGCTGCAACTACTGAAGCCTAGAGCCCGAGCTCCGCAACAAGAGAAGCCACTGCAATGAGAAGCCCGCGCACCGCAATGAAGAGTAGCACCCACTCACCGCAACCAGAGAAAGCCCACGTGCAGCAATGAAGACCCAATGCAGCCAATAATTAATTACTTTTTTTTAAAAAAGAAAATGCATTCAAAAATTATTGTGGTATTTGTGCAACAAAAATTTAGCCTGACAAAATCATCACCAAACTAATGACTCTACCCTACCCCTGACCCCCTGCCTGGTTTATAGTATTTTGTGACTTTACCTCTCAGGATCAGGAGTCCCTGTAAGGAAGTGGATGCAAGGAACGTTGGAGTCTTGAGGTAAAATAGAAACCATGCTTGCAGTGGTCAGGAATTCTCCCTCCATATTAATGCCACTTGGTTTATCTCGGAGAATTTCCATCATTGTTTCAAAGGTTATGTTTCCTAGGGAAATGAATTTTAAGACGATCAAATACATATGCATTTGCAGGTTGGTATCCTGCAATTATGAACTGCTTTCTCTATTGATAATACATAATATGAGACACTGGCCTAGGTATAAATTAAGTGAGATTGACTATAAGCAAATCTTGTATCATAACTGTTAGACTCACTGCACTGTCCCAAGGAAGATTTTTTTCTAATATAAAATATACAAAATCTCAAAACATTATAACAGGTTAAATCTGTTATTTCCTAAGAAGAAGAAATCAATAATGCAAAATACACTCAATCTCACTGCCCTTCCAAAAATTTTTAAGAGGTATGTAGTTAACAATTAGCTAATGACAATAATAACTATTATCTGAGTCTATCCATTCTGGGAACCAAATATTAAGAGAATATTGTGCTTAGTTTCCAATATTATACAAGATGTTCTTTACAAAATAACAAATTATCTTTCCTGTAATATAATTGCTATGCCTGACATTAATACTCTTGTATGAAAGTGTGAATTGTAACCTGAGTGGGACTGAAGGAGGCAAAAGACATTATTGGCTAATGGAATTTGTATGTACGCAGTTCCACTGGACTACTTTAAAAATTTAAATGTCCATCATGTGTAATGAAAATAAATGGCATTATATTCTGTTTTCTTCTTTCATAGGTAAAGTTTGATATTTTAAGGAGATTTTTTTGAGAAAAATAGAAGAAAATCTATCTCTTTAGCAAACACAACATGTCCATGGTTGCAGAGAACCTCAGAATCCCATATTTGGAAGGCATTTCCACCAAAAAAATTAAAAAAAAAAAAAATTTAAAAGCCAATCATGCCCTCAGACAGCTCTGCTTCTTTCTATATATATCCATAGTCAAAGATGTGATTTAGGATCTATCTCATGACAAGATGAATAATCTTACCCTTCCACAATGCAGTCCTCCAAAAGTAGCCAAAATATCGTCTTCTCACATGATAATAATTCTCTTCTCCAAAATTTATGACTCAATTCTCCCTGAATCACATTAGAACTCCTTCAAATTAAAACTTACTACTAAGCTTAACTTAAATAAACTTTTCCTCTCCATCTGTCTTTTGTCTGTATTGGTCCTATCTTTTGTTTATCTTGGTCCTATCTCTGCCATCAGATTATAAATTCCTGATCTTTTGTCTGTATTGGTCATATCTCTGCCATTAGATTACAAATTCTCTCAAGACAAGAATGGGATTTTCTCTGTTTAGTTCTCATTCATTCAACAAATATTTATTGAACACCTATTAAATGCCAGGCACTGTCCTAGGCAATGGATAGATAGATAGACACAGACAGACAGAAAGACAGATATTGATAGATTTAGACATGGATATACAGCTCTGTGAATATAAAGAAATGAAAGTCCCCTGATCCAATTTTAATTAAGGTAACCAGAGTTAACAATTCAAAAAGGATTTCTCCTGGGACTTCCCTGGTAAGACTCCATGCTCCCAATGCAGGGGGCCCAGGTTCGATCCCTGGTCGGGCAACTAGATCCCCCATGCATGCCACAACTAAGAGTCCACATGCCACAACTAGAAGTCCACATGCTGCAACTAAAAACAAAAGATCCTGCATGCCACAACTAGGACCCGCTGCAGCCTAAATAAATAAATAATAAATAAATAAATAAATAAAAGATTTCTCCTGAAGAGTTTCAGAACAGGTCTGAAACCTTTTCTTTGAATAAATGCAAGAAATTCTCATTATCAGAAGAAAATTGGTACCAGAAAATAGCCACTTAAAGCAACATATTTAAAATAAGAATCAAAACTTCATGGTATGTAGTGGAGGAAAAGGATTGACTGGATCTTTAAAATGAAATTAAAATACAAAAATAAGTTTATATAAGCTTATAGTTAACAAAATTTAGGTTAAAATTTTAATATGCTAATTCTTAGAACAAAGAATGAAACAAGTGTAATTTTTACAACAAAATGGTAAGAGAATTCGACTTTATTTGACTATTGCAGAATGATCATACAGATAATGATTGCAAAAATATATGAGGACTTCATCAAGTTTCTCTTAAGTCCCTCTCTTAATTCTTTTTTTTTTTTTTTTTACTGTATAATAATTTTTTTTTCCTTTTTAAAAAATTTTTTGGAGTATAGTTGATTTACAATGTTGTGTTAGTTTCAGGTGTACAGCAAAGTGAATCAGTTATACATATATCTACTTTTTTTTTTTTTTAGATTCTTTTCCCATGTAAGCCATTACAGAGTATTGAGTCGAGATCCCTGTGCTATACAGCAGGTTGTTATTAGTTATCTATTCTTAATTATTTAATATTCAAATCATTTTCTTTTGAAGCACTTTGTTGTGTTACTGCTCTCAGTTTTTCTTCAGTTGTCAATAGGTCTAACTCTCTGTTCATTTTTTATTTGCCAATGGCTTTGTATGTGACCTAATCAGTATCTAATGTTAATTTCATGGGCTTCTGGAAATCTTGCATCTTTTGTAAGAATTTCAGTTTGTATTTTATTTGTATTGTGTTAACAATCATTAAGAGACATCAACAAAAATACTGACGCAAAGAAGAGGAAGGATAGTGTTAAGTTGGGAAAGATATTTGAATGAGGACTAATTTTATAAATAGATGGTTCATCAGTGATTAGCTTTATGTTTAAGACTACCTTTGCTTCCTTATGCAACCCTTGTAACTTTGGGGCATCAGACTGAAAATTCAGATAAAATGGACATCCCTCCTACCATCCATCACAACTTGCTGCAATCTTTGCTTCATTAACCAGCTGATATATGACTAAAATGAGGTCATTTTTTTAAAGTACCTACATCTCCCCAATTTTCCTATATGACCTCCTAATTTTTCATGCTTGTACAAAGTTTATATTCCCCAAAGCATAATTCGACAAGAAAATTAAAATAGGATCACTAACATATAATTACTTACCTGAAAAACCGAAGAGAATAGATTTTAAAACTATGAAAAAAAATAGACTATCAATGAGGTGTCCCATTAAATAAGTAAAAACACTCAACAGCATTCTTATAGATCAAAACCAACCAATTAACAAACATAATAGAAAAATATTCCATTTATATTACCAGTAAAAAAATATTAAGTATCCAGAAAAAAACTTAAAAGTCAAGTGGAAATCAGTAATCTAAGCTTCCACCTTAACAAACTAGAAAAAGAAGAGCAAAATAAGCTCAAGGCAAGCAGAAGGAAGAAATAATACAGATAAAAGCAGAAATCAATGAAATTGAAAGCAGAAAACAGAAAAGTCAATGAAACAAAAAGTGGTTCTTTGAAAAGATCAATAAAATTGACAAACCTCTAGCTAGACTGACAGAAAAAGAGAAAACACAAATTACAAAATTACCAATATCAGAAATGAAACAGGGGTATCATGACAGACCCTGCAGACATTAAAAGCATGATAAAGGAATACTATGAACAACTCTATACCCATAAATTAACAACTTAGAAGAAATGGACCAATTATTTGAAAAGCACATATTACCAAAACTCACTCAATATGAAATAATATGACTAGCCCTATATCTCTTAAAGAAATTGACTTTAAGACTTCCAGAAATCTCCAGGCCCAGATGTTTCACTGGAGAATTCTACCAAACATTTGAGGAAGAATTAACTCCAAATCTACACAATCTCTTCCAGAAAATAAAAAAGGAGGGAACACGTCCTGACTCATTCAATGAGGCAAATATTACCCTTATACCAAAACCAAACAAAGACAGTACAAACAAACCAACACAGACCAATATCTCTCATGAATACAGATGCAAAAACCCTCAACAAAATATTAGCAAATAGAACCCAACAATATATAAAAAGAATTATATACCATGACCAAGCTGGGTTTATTCCCAGGATACAAGGCTTGTTCAATATTAGAAAATCAATGTAATCTATCATATCAACAGGCTAAAGAAAAAAGAGAATCATATCAACTGACACAGAAAACGCATTTGACAAACCTCAGTATCTATTCATAATAAAAACTCTCAGCAAACAAGGAATAGTGGAAAACTACCTTAACTTGATTAAGTTGACAAAGTACATCTACAAAAAGCTACAGCTAATACTATACTTAATGGTAAATGACTAAATGCTTCCCCCCTAAGACTGGGAACAAGGCAAGGATGTCTGCTCTCACCATTCTTATTCAGTATAACACTTGAAGTCCTAGCCAGCACAATAAGGCAAGGCAAGGAAATAAAAAGCATACAGATTGGAAAGGAAGAACTAAACTGTCCCTATTTGCAGATGGCATGATAGTCTCTACATAAAAATCCCAAGGAGTCTATCCAAAAAAACCCAAAAAAAACTAACCTCCTAGAACCAGTAAATTCATTTAGCAAAGTCACAGAATACAAGATCAACATACAAAAAAGTAATTAAAACAATCTGAAATTTTGAAAAGAAGTTCTTATTAAGAAACAATTTGTTTAGGCTCTATAGAAGAGAACTAGAGACACTGTTTTCTCATTTAGGTTGAAACTGCAAATTTTGTAGGTCCAACTTCACTTATAGAATCTATTCTAAAGAAGTAATTTTGAAATGCAGACAAACTTAATAAATAAGATGTTCACATGATTTACAGTGGTAAAAGGGAAACAACCAAATAGTGAACAATACCATTTGTGTCCTCCCCTCCACCAGTTACTATGTTCCAGAAGGTCATAGACTGTATCATGTCTGCCACTATGTGGCCCCATGCCTAGCACAGAGCAAGTGTTTATAAAAGGTTTCTTTAACAACAACAAAAAATGTCAATATGGAAAACCTAGACAAATAAAATTATAAAAGTCTACTTAGAACAGAAAAGAAAAATTCAATAAACGGACAACCATATCTTGTTCTTGACTAGGAAGGCAATATCATTAGATGTGAATTCTCCCCTAAAATAATCTATAGTTTTAATTCAAATCCAATCAAACCTCAAAAAGATTCTTTGGGGAGAAGCTAGAAAAATGATTGTA